AGAGGAAGGAGGAGGGGGAGGAGGAAGAAGAGGAGGTCGAGGAGGAAGAGTGGGAGGGAAGCGGATGGGGAAGGGGAGGAGGGCAGGGATGTGATGGCGAGAAGGTGGTAGAGCGGAGGGGGGGAGGGATAGATGTGGGCCAAGGGGGGGGGATGGAGAGGAGAGGACAAAGCAGCATGAGAGGGACCAAAACGCTTTCCTCCCAATCACCATGATCAAGTGGCTGAATTAGCCCTGGCCGCTCCAATCAACTCGGTGGAGGTATGTGAACCAAACCATCGTTACCCTCATGGTGTTCATCGTCGTGGTCATCCTTTTCGCCATCATCATCATCATAAACAGCATCAGCATCAGCATCAGCATCAGCATCAGCATCAGCATCATTATCATCAATGTGGCACGCAGACTGGTACCTTGTGGATCACCTGTGCCATGGGGCAGATGGCTGGCTGGTCCTTCAGCCTCGAGCCGCATTACACACTATTGATGTACACTCGAGATACATTCATTTCCATGCTAGCAAAACTGTTACCCAAGGGCGGCTACGAGATGATGTCTTCACTCTCCTCCAAAACTCCAAACACCCATCATTACGACCCCAATCGTGAAGGCACGACTGGCATCCAGGCTGGCGCCCTGCCTCCCCCTCCTCTCCTTTCCCGCAGCGCAACGCAGCGGGATATGAATTCCACGAGCCCACTGGGCGTAGGTCGTTTACAAAGCTTGTTATTCCACCACCACCCCTCCCCCTTCGGGGAGAGGTCTACCGCCTCCCCACTCTCCCTCTTCCTGGGTCTTGAGGGTGGAGGGGTGCGCGACGCGCTGGAGCGTCCACAGTGTCTCCAGGTGGCGCCTCCCAAAGGCCTCTGCTAGACCACGTCCTCCGAAGGCCGAAGGGGGAGGGCGGAGAGGGGGGTGAGGAGGAGGAGGAGGAGGAGGAGGAGGAGGACGAGGACGACGACTGGACTGGACTGGACTGGACTGGAACGCTTACGACCCTGGCGAGTACCTCCTGAGTGCAACTCGTTGCAACCGCGCTATTCATGCGTATGCGGACCTGCGGATAGCACGAGGCTATAGCCTGCAGCCTCGCTGGGGGATAAGGAGGAGGAGGAGGAGGAGGAGGAGGAGGAGAGGAGGAGGAGGGAGGGAGGGAGGGAGGGAGGGAGGGAGGGAGGAGGGAGGCAGGGAGGGAGGCAGGGAGGGAGGGGGGGAGGGGGGGAGGGAGGGAGGCCGAGGATGGGGACGGGGGGGGGAAGCGGGGCCGATGGGCGAAGCGAGAGATCGCGAGGCCCAGGTCGCTGGGCGAGCACCGGCTTCGTGCCCGCGCCGGCCCTAGCGGCGCCTGGGCAGAGGGGGCCTAACTAGCAGCACGGCCGCAGCGCGATTGCCGCGGGAGGCTCCAAGGAGGGGGCCCTGTGGCAGTGGGCGGGCGAGGAGGGCCTTCTGAGAGGGCAGTGAAGGTCTCCCTCCCTCCCTCCCTCCTTCCTTCCTTCCCCCCTTCCTTCCTTCCTTCCTTCCCTCCCTCCTCCTCCCTCCTCCTTCCCTGCCTGCCTCCCTCCCTCCCTCCCTCCCTACCTCTCCTCCTCCTCCTCCTCCTCCTCCTCCTCCTCCTCCTCCTCCTCCTCTTCCTCCTCCTCCTCCTCCTCCTCCTCCTCCTGCTTCTCGCCCTGGAGGCTTCTCTGAGAAGGCTGCTGGAGGGCAGGAGAGCTTCCTGGAGATCGGGCGCGCGCTGGCATGGATCACGGATCCGTGGATCTGGCGCGTGGGAGCGGGGGCGAAGCCATCCCTCCGAGGCAGGAAGCCGGTGTCGCCCGCTTTGACGGCGCCGCGCGCCGATGTCACGTGGGCGCTGGACGGGTCGCCAATCCACGCGCCGTGCAGTAGGGGCCCGTCCACAAGAAACCCTCCGGAAGAAACCCAACCCCGAGACCCCAGGACGTCCAATTGCTTGTGGTGTGGGAGCGTCACGTGTTCCATCGCGAAACCATCGACAACCCACAGACCCGGGGCACCCTGGAGGCAAGCAGGCTGCTTTTCGGCGCGGGCCTCCACCGTAGCCCATGCCTGCGCTTGCCCGGAGAGGAGGCGGGAGGTCCTCTCCGGGAGGCCCGCCCCCCAAGCCCCGCCGAGAGGGCTCGAGCCAGATCCCTCGCCTCGGCCAGGCCCTCGGGCCCGCCCCTGGAGGGCCCCGAGACGGTCCCCGAGTGCCCCAAGACGGGCCCCAAGACGGGCCCACGGGGCTCCGCGAGGCCTCTCAGACGCTCCAGGAGGGCCTCTCGAGCCGCCGAGCCATCGGTCCAAGACGCTCCAGATGGCCTCCAGACGGCCCCAGGGGCCTCCAAAACGCCCCAGACACCGGGCGCTCCACATTTTGCTCGATGCGTGGGCCCCTGGAGGTCTGGACCTGTTCCCTCGGGGCCGGTGTCTCGTCACGAATCGTGGTTTGACGGCCCTGGAGCCCGTTGAGAGCCCCAGGAGGCCGAGAACACGGCCGGCCGGACCTAGGATTGAAGAACATCCTTCAGGATCACGAGACCTCCGCCGGCCAAACTGACGAGCATCCGAGGGTAGTTACCCTCCCCCAGGATGCACAAGAACATCCAACAAGCACGAAGAACGTGGGGGTAGCCTCCCCGAGCCGACCTCGATCTTACACCTCGGTCCGACCGCAGCCCGAAACAGGCCGCGCCAGTCCCTTCGGAGCTTCGGATCTAGGGGAACGAACAATGACATAAACATAAAAACTCGGAGGTCCGCGCGGATCTCTCGGATCGGCGCTGGGGTCCCCTGGCGGCGCCTCGGGCGCAGACCCTGGCGCGCTCCGCGCGCCAGGGATGGGGGTCCAGCGCGGATCCAAGAAATCCGCGCGGACCTCCGAGTTTCTATGTTTATGCCATTGTCCGTTCCCCTAGGATCTCTGGAAAGGTCGCCCTGCGCGCGGCGCGAAGCGCGGCCGCCTTCGCTCCGCCGCGCCGCCCCCCCCCCCCCCCGGAGAGGAACGGTTCTGGCCCCAACGGTTGGGCCGACCCCCCGTGGCACGAGGGCAGGCCGACCCCACGTGGCCCACGGCCGCCGCCCGCGGAGCCGAAGGCCTGGGACCGCGAATGGCGGTGGAGGTGGACACGTTGTGGCCCAGGGCCCCCTCCTCCTTCCCTCCTCCTCCTCCTCCTCCGCCTCCTCTCCTCCTCCTCCTCTCCTCCTCCCCCTCCTTCCTCCTCCTCCTCCTCCTCTCCTCCTCCTCCCTCCTCCTCCTCCTCCTCCCTCCTCCTCCTCCTCTCCTCCTCCTCCTCCTCCTCCTCCTCCTCCTCCTCCCTCCTCCCTCCTCCTCCCTCCTCCTCTCCTCCTCCTCCTCTCCTCCTCCCTACCCTCCTCCTCTCTCTCATCCTCCTCCTCCTCTCCTCCTCCTCCTCTCCTCCTCCTCCTCTCCCTCCTCCTCCTCCTCGCTCCCCTCCCCTCTCCTCCTCTCCTCCTCCCCTCCTCCTCCTCCTCTCCTCCTCCTCCTCCTCCTCCTCCCTCCCCTCCTACCTCCTCTCTCTCCTCCTTCTCCTCCTCCCCCTCCTCCTCCTCTCTCCTCCTCCTCCTCCGCCTCCTCTCTCTCTCCTCCTCCTCCTCCTCCTCCTCTCTCCTCCTTCCTCCTCCTCCTCCTCCTCCTCCTCTCCTCCTCCTCCTCCTCCTCCCCCTCCTCTCCACCTCCTCTCCTCGCCTGCTCCTCCTCCTCCTCCTCCTCCCTCCTCCTCCTCCTCCTCCTCCACCTCCTCCTCCTCCTCCTCCTCCTCTCCCTCCTCCTCCATCCTCCTCCCTCCTCCTTCCTCGTCCCTCCTCCTCTCCCTCCTACCTCCTCCGCCTCCTCCTCATCCTCCTCCCTCCTCCTCCTCCTCTCCTCCTCTGCCTCCTCCATCCTCCTCCTCTCCTCCTCCTCCTCCTCCTCCTCCTCCTCCTCCTCCTCCTCCTCCTCTCCTCCTCCTCCTCCTCCTCCTCCTCCCCCCCCTGCTCCTCCTACTCCCCCTCCGGGGCAAACCTGGAGCCGTCGGGGGGTTCGAGGTGGCCCAGCACGTGTTCCGGCCCGCGGGAAGGGCGGGCAGGCTCCAGGCTCCCAGTTCGGAAAATCGGAAAAAAATGCTCTTGCCTTTGTCGGCCCCCGGGGGCCTTTTTTTTCGAAGTCGGGACCGTCAAAAAGGGATCCGGGGTGCAAAACTGAAGCAGATTGGGCCCAGGGAAAGGTCCGGGGACCGATTCTGATCGGTCTGGGGACCGATTGTGACCGGAGTTGGCCTCGTCCCCCCCCACTCCTGGCCGAATTTCTGGGGTCCCATCCAGTCCAGTCCCCCGAGCCGCCTTCAAGTTCGAATGAATTCGTGTCCACCGCCTGCCGAGGTCCCCGAAGATCGATCCCCCAGGCGGTGGTTATGGACAAATCCCCGCCTCGGACGGTGGGGGCTTTTCGGGGCTGCAGTGCGTGGCGGACTCCTCCTCCTCCTCCTCCTCCTCCGCCTCCTCCTCCTCCTCCTCCACCTCCTCCTCCTCCCCTCCTCCTCCTCCTCCTCCTCCTCCTCCACCTCCTCCTCCTCCTCCCTCCTCCTCCTCCTCCTCCTCCTCCTCCTCCTCCTCCTCCTCCTCCTCCTCCTCCTCCTCTTCCTTCATCTCCTCCTCCTCCTCCTCCGACGTCCTTGACCCTCGCAGGAACCCCCTGAAGCGACATGCCGCTGCAAAACACAGGATTGAAAGGTGAAGCCGCCCCGATCCCCTTTTTTGCCCTCTGGCCTCAGAAAGCTCTCATAGTCATACTCCTCTTGTAGCACCCTCGGATCTTCCCCTCAGTCTCACACCACCTCTCTGGGCTGCGATGGCTTCTTCGAGTGCTAGTGGCCGTACGCGCGTGCCAGGTACACCAATGAAGGACCTGCTCAAGACAGAGAGACACATCATCGCTTCTCCGTCTTCACCGGCAACACCTGCTACCAAAACCGCTCGCTTGTCAAGCCCGCTGCACGAGATGGATGGAATGGACGCGGGAAAACCGGTTCCAGCAACAGCGGCAGAGCCTCTACGACTTCGTGATGGCGGGGCAGACGCAGCAGTACGAGTACGTCAACAAGACTTCCAGCGCAGCCTCATAGAAGCATCTGGAGTTGGACTCACCGCGGTTGCTTTCGAGGCCATCTTGAACAAGCATTTGGAACCTACTAAGAACGATATTCGTGCCATTAAGCAGCACGGTGTTTCTCAAGACGACCTGAAGAACATGGTGGACCCGCTGCGTAAAGAGCTCGAGCAGTTGCAGGACACTGCAACTAATGATCTGGAAGATTTACAGATACGCGCTACCAAGATGGAAAACACCATCAACGAGATGAAGCAGGACATGATCAATGTGCAAATTACTCCAAGGTCAATGGGCGGAGGGTCGCAGACGGGATATCAGAGTCATGTTGGGAACGCGGCCAGCGATAAAAAACAAGTATCACAGCCGCGGTGGGTAATTTGGATGGTTTCGCCTCTTTCGAAATGGCGTCCGATTGGTTAAAACACGAAATGGAACACCTACAGGCACCGGCATGGAGAAACATGTACTTCAAGGGTGAGCTCCGCAACATCGTCTTCTGCGAGCTCGGCAACGCCGAGGACAGGAATACCAGAGTGGCGCAGTTACGCAGCGCCGAACTTATTCGGAATGGGAACGCAATGTGGGCCACGCAAGACCGTCCACCATTACTACGGGCAGCCCGCAACTTCTGCTATGGGCTCAAGTATTTCCTCAAAAACAACATGGGCATGGACTTCACTATAAAAGTAGACGACCAGAACCCTATACTCAGTTGAAGCTGGCGGGGAGCTTGCCGTAACACTTACACTCGATGGGGGCGATATCAAAATGAATTGGGCCAATCAGCGGGGCACGCGGCAGGAATTGCACTCGCACCCCAAATTCAAAGAGCTCGTCCAGAAATTTGAGGGCATAGTACAAAGGAGCTCTCAGGGCATGAAGGGAGGAGCGAAAGGCTCTTCCAACGGGGCCGAAAAGTAGCAAACGCGGCCAGCACTGGAAAACCGCACCACTACAAGGTCTTCTGCCTCCAGTGCTGGAGCCTCGGCAGAGACGCAGTGCACAAATTTTGGGGCAGAGGATATTCTGGGCAAACCTACCGTAGCATCTAGCAGTGGTCCGCTTCGTGCACGCCCGCCTGCGCTACAAGAACATCGTGCTACAGAATTGGACAAAGCTACCATACCTGAAGTACGTACTTCCTCATCTACTCCTTCTTCGCATTCTCTTTCGCAATTATCTCCCGCATTCTGTTCTTCTTTGCCACTCCGGAGCTGTCTTGAGAGGCGAATGGTGGGTAGCGCCAGCGCGAGGCCTACCAGCACCCCGCGAGCCTTCGCGTCAAAACGTAGTTGTTCCCCACTCCTTGAGCAATCGATCGGGACCTGGAACGTGGAAGGTCTGGGAAAAGACATGGCAAAACTACCAGAACTACAACATCATATGGAGAAACACAAAATGGCAGTTTTATGCAAGCAAAAAAACGAGAAGCGAAACGCATGCCGAAAATATCGATTCAGACTACATGCTTATTCTATCTGGGACGTCGAAGCCACATGGAGTGGGCCGGTTCTATTCTGGAGTGGGATTTTTGATAGCGCCTTGGGCCATCAAGTTCATCATCAGCTACATATTGCTTTCAGACAGGCTGGCGATCCTGAAGCTCAAGATCCGCGGCGGTATACTCAATCTCATTACGGCTTACGCGCCTCATGGAGGTTACGATTACGAAGAGAGAGGCGCGAGTTTTTCGACCAACTCACGAAAGCCTGGCCAGTGCCCAACAAGCACGCCACCACCATCGCACGCGGCGACTTCAATGCGAGGTTATACGACCGGTAACCTGGGGACGAAGATATCATAAGCGAGTTCTTCCTTCAAAGCAAGTGGCCACGACAAAGAGCATACTTAAATAGGGACTTGTTGGAGACCTGCCAGCGACATCTACCGCAATCGCCAACACATATGTTGAACAGTCTCTAGAAAACCTTGTTACATACTATGGGATGGAGGTGGACAGGACGAGTCCGATAGGAAAAGGTTTTGCTCAAATTGACTACTGCCTGGCTGACCACAGCACGATTGGGAAAATGACAAACATATGGGCTGATCGAACAAGCATATTGGCTTCGAGACGTTTTCTACTACGTATGGTTTTGGAGATCCAATGCGATACGACATGCGCGAAGCAATGCAGAAACAGATGCCGCCTGAGCACGCTGATGGTGGACGGCAACGCTGCCGGATATTTCTGCCGCCGCTTCGTCGAGGCAGCGGTGGTGCCAACGGCCCTTGGTACTTTAGATTCGCATGCCAAGCACATCACCGACACAATGGTATATGCTGCAGAAGCAATCAAGGAACGTGGGAGGGAACCCAGACGACCATGGATCTCCCAAGCTACACTGGATTTGCTGACCGAGAGGGATGCCATCCAATCAGAGGGAAGCTTGTTGGAAGAGCACAAACTCACAAGACGTATCAAGGCATCAGTAAGGAGAGCCAAACAGAAATGGCTGGATTCACAATTGGTTGGTGGGAAATGGGCAGCTGTACGGGCCGCCAGGAATGGGGCCCTCCAAGAAGCCAATACAAATTCGCAACAAACATGGGCAGCTGTTGGAGAGCACGAAACGCGCTGATACATTGGCGGGCTACTCCGAAAAGATCCAGTGGAAAGTTACGCACGCAGATCTTCTACCGAGTGGGAGAACGAACGTTGGAGACACACTCGGCATATCCACGGGGACATTTGCAATGGAAGAGCTCCGACGTGCACTCCGGGCTCTCGCCGCTGGGAAAACAGGGGGCATAGACGACATACCCCCAGAATTCTGGAAAGCCTTATCGTCTTCAGAAGAGGCCTGCGGGGAATTGCTAATATGGTTTCAAAGGTGTTGGGACGAAAAGAACATGCCAGCAGAATGGCAGACCTCGGTCGTGGCACTTCTACACAAGAAGGGGGACACAAGCCTGCTGGAGAATTACCGCCCGATATCTCTTTTGTCGATTGGGTACAAACTTTTGGCGTGGATATTACCAAAAACGAATTCAAAATGGCGGGGCCGAGAACCGAATTCGTTCAACTCAATATGGTTTCCGCCCTGGCAGAAGCACTGCCCAGGCGATTGGCATTGCCTGGAGGATTCTCGAGGCCGCAGAGACATGTCAATCAGAAGCTTTGTGTTGCGGGACCCCGTCGTAAATTCCAGCAAACGTCTTCAAGCTGCAGGGATCGCACAAGGGTGCCCGTTACCGCCGTTTTTATTCATCATTGTTCAAAGCGTCATGTTTTACGACGTCGACAACATAATGGCTGGCCTACACGATGCTGTCCGGGAGCCCTACTATTTGGCATGCAGTGACTTGTTATACGCCGATGACACAGTGTTACTCAGCAGCGATTCTGGGAAGCTTCAAACACTACTCAACACAGTCATTGACGAAGGCGCGAGATATGGCCTGGATCTGAATTGGGATAAAACTGTATGCATGCGTGTACATAACACTGGTACTTTGCTTTCTCCCACCGGCGCGCCGCTGAAAATAGTGGAGCAAGCGGTGTATTTAGGAGGATCATTGAATGTAAAATGCTCAGCAAAACCTGAAATCACTCGGAGAGTTGGTGAAACCAAGTCTCTATTTAAAGCTCTGTCTCACTGTTGGTCGCACGCTAATAGATGCCGCGAGAGGAACATCCAACTGTATAAAGCAATTGTCTTGCCCAAGCTGCTGTATAAGTTAGAGACTGTTTGGTCATTGCAAGCTGACAGAGCCCGTTTAGACAATTTCCACGTGCAATGTCTGCGAACTATGTTCAGAATTCCGCCTGCGTACGTGTCCAGAATTTCTAACAATGAAGTCCTAGATCGTGCGCAGGAGCCGCCGCTGAGCGAGACGCTCCGTGATCGGCAAATGAGTTTGTATAGGAAGATTTCGGCTCTCGCCGAAAATAATCTTCTCAAGTTCCTAACGTGTGAGCCTGGCACAAGGTTGCCTAGGCGATGGGCGCACAAAAGGAAGAGAGGGAAACCCAAACAGCAATGGGCTTCCAGCGTCTATTCGCTTTTGCCAGCAGGCGTGCTCTGATTGTTTTCGGCACTCTCCCTCCTCCCCTTGCCCCTCCTCCTCCTCCTCCTCCTCCTCCTCCTCCTCCTCCTCCTCCTCCTCCCCACTTGTCCTCACAGGTGGAACCGATGCGTGTTCACTGAATTTCGCATCACATCAGCTGTCCGGCGACAGTGCGCTGTGCTAACTTTTTATTTGCCAATGCGCCGTTCGAGCGCAGGGCTTGACTGGCCTCAGAGAGGTAGGCGATTCGGTGAAGCTCCCTGACAGCACGAGCGCAGCATGATGATTCAGCGGGATGAGGCTACATCGGGAATCTCTGAGACCTGGCAAATCTGGAGGATGCACCCGTCGCCGCGGCCATTTCAGGGCACTCTGGACTGCCCGAAAGCGCTCTGGACCGCACTGGAACGATTTGACCTCATCCTGGGCCTGCCCGATGACCCCCTCTCCTGGCCTCAGAGAGGAGGCGACTCGGCCTAGCGCCCGCTGCCTTCACCCCCTCTCGAGAGCCTCCAGACTGCCACGGCCCCAGTGCTCTCCTTCGGAGAGCGGGCGCTGCGGTCGCAGGGGCGGAAAGAGTGAGACGAAAAGCGCCGCGGCGCATCCAGTTCTGGGTCACGCCTGCCTTCGCTCGGTGAGCGTTTTCTTACTCGGCGTTCCGACGCTGGGTGAAGCGGGGGGGAGGGGAGGGGGGTCTGGCTCCGGACCTCTGCTGACTGCGACCGCTTGTAACAGTGCGTCCATTATGGGGGAGACCCCACCTGCTCGAAGCAGGTGCCAAACTGCTCCATGGGGGGGAGGGGGCAGGAGGAGGAGGAGGAGGAGGAGAGGAGAGAGGAGGAGGGGAGGAGGAGGAGGAGGAGGAGGAGAGGAGGAGGGGGAGGAGGAGGAGGAGGAGAGGGGGAGGGGAGGGAGGAGGGGAGGAGGGGGGGGGGAGTGCAAGAAAACGATCACCTTGCCATCGCCCGGGCGTCCATCCCCCCCCCCCCCAGCATGCTTCGGCCCCGGGCCCCTCCTCTCTCGCAGGCTGGCCCCGGGTGCTCCCCGGCGGTCTCCGCGCGCACGCCCGAGCGACGGCCGAGCCACGGGGCCCCCCCAGAACGGGATATCGGGCAGGGCGGGGCGCGGGCCGAAGAGCAGGGGGGAGAGGGGCGACTGCGGGAGGAGGTCGGCCCTTCGGCCGCTCCCTCCCTCGCACGAGGCGAGCGACGATCCGAGACGGCCTGGCGCGAGACGGCCTGGCCACCTCGCGCGGT